GGCAAACAGAACAAAACCCAAGGTCAGCAAAATAAGTCAATGAAAAATCAAGAGAAGGAACCCCAAGAGAAGGATTAAGATCATTAAAACAAGGGCCAGAGAGTAGAGAAGGACAGCCTCACCATGGATCAGAATAACTATGGACTAACCTCAGTGAGGGAAAACTATTTTTTTTGGAGTAGGATCTCAGATTCCCAGAATTTACCAAACTCACATCAATTCTATGGGAGTTTCCTAGTTGGGACTGATCAGTGGTAGGAGTTGGGTGGCCTTCTGGATGCTGTCAATCTGCAGTTTCCAGCATTTTTTTGTCATTGGCTATGTGGGCTAGGGCTGCTGGGATTTGCAGTCTAACTACATCTGGACTGCTGCACAATTCCCACCCATCCCCATTTAGGCTGTGCCATTGATAGGGAACAAATTGTCACTCAGTTCTTGTTGAGCTGTAACAATTATCAATCCTCAGCATTGGCTATACTGGCTTGGGATGTTGGGAACTGCAATCCAACAACATCTGGAAGGCCACAGATTTCCCCTCCTTGGGCTATGATAATCACATAGGATTGCAAGTGTTATAAAGGAGTGCTACTCAAAGGGGTGGTTCATGGACTGCTGCCCATGCCTGAGCCATTTGCTGCCATTCCCTGGAGAGCTTACAGGAAAGAAAGAATAATTGTTGCCAATTTTATCTGTGAGACATCTTAGATCTCTTTCTGGGAGAAAGGCAGCATAGAGATGAAAAAAATAAATAAACAAAATAGTATGTTACTCCCCCACATCTGATAGATGAAGATAGATTGTTGCCATTTCAGGATCATCCCAGGTCCTGAGGTTTCCAGGAAAAAACCATGAGACCTAAGGATAGCAGCTGGTTATGTCATTAAGCATTATGCATTAAGTACTACCCACAGTTGCTCACAGTTTGTCATTCAGAAAGAGAGAGAGAGAGAGAGAGAGAACATACTTTCCTTTTTAGTAATTAAAAAATAAATCAAAGTTACCAGATCAAAGTTAAATGAGGGTACAAGCTGAGTATCCCTTATCTGGAATTCCAAAATCTAAAATATTCCAAAATTGTCCACATGGGTGGCTGAGACAGTGACATCTTTGCTTTCTGTTCGATCAGAGTACATAATCTTTGCTTCGTGCATAAAATTGTTACAAATATTATGTATAAAATTACCTGCAGGCTATGTGTATAAGATGTATATGAAACATAAATTAATTTCATGTTTAGACTAGGGTCCCATCTTCAAGTTATGTCATTATGTATATGCAAATATTACAAATTCCAAAATAATAATAATAATAATAATTTGAAATCCAAAACACTTCTGGTCCCAAGCACTGTGGATAAGGGAGACTTAACTTGTACAGTACGCCCTTGCTATCCATGGGGGATCCATTCTGGACCCCTTCTTCCCACGGACAGCAAAACACGCAGGACCTTAAGTTGTGTTCTTTTCAATGGGCACATGCTATTTATTTATTTTTGGTATTTCGGCCCCCCAATTGTCTGAGGGACAGCAACCCGGCCCTTGGCTCAAAAAGGTTGCCTACCCCTGAAATGGAGCCACAAAAATCCACTCCTAATAGTTAGAGTTTTCTCCTCCTCTTGTCCCTCATCACAGCAGTTATAATTTAAGATAAGGAAGGGAATTATTTTGTGGTTGCTATAATTAAACAATTAACCTTGGTCATCTACTGCAACTGCCCAGATATCTACCAGCCGATCTAGACCAGTGATTCCCAAACTTTAATCTTCAGATGTTTTGGACTTCAGATCCCAGAAGCCCCAGCCAATATGCCAACAGTCTGGAATTCTGGGATTTGAAATCCAAAACATCTGGAGGACCAAAGTTTAAGAATTGCTGATCTAGACCTAGCTTCTGCCCACCCCTGACCCCAGAGTTGCCTGAAGGGTTGTGGGCAAGCTGGGAAAGAAGAGGTAATACTGTCCAACTCCCCCAATTTGTCAGGGACACTCTGGATTAATACATTGTCATCCCACTTTTAGAATTCTGCAGTTGTGCCACGACTCTAAGGTAGCGGGACACTGGGGTTTCCTGAAGACTTGGCTCCGAGTAAGAAAACAGTACTGATGGGAGGGAATTCAGAGTGATGTAGAGACTTATATGAAAGACTGCCCTGTGAGGGCCTGCTCCAAGCCAGTGATGAGCAAACCTCGGGGGTTGCTCCAACCATTGCCTATGGAGAATGGGAGCTGAGACCTGAGAGCAGAGTCTACCTGCCCACAAAACACTAAAAGACTCAACAGCCTTCCAAAAAATAGGGGCCCAAAGTTTGTGGGATGATTTGTGGTAAAACGAATCATCAATAAGGTGACAGCTGAGTTGGATCTACCAAAAACCTACAGACACTTATACCCTGTGTTCCATTTCAGTTTTCTAAAGCCAGCGCTGGAAGAGGACCCTTGGAGAGAGGAGCCTGAACTTTTTCCTCTGTTAGTGGTGGAGGAGGAACAATACTTTGAGGTGGCTAAGATTTTGGGTTCCAGGTGGCATAG